TGTCCTGCCCTGTCCTGTAGTCAACCTCCGTCCTGCTGAGCGGCAGGGCAGAACGAAAAATAATTTAGCCTCCTGTCCTGTCCTGTCCTGCAATCAACCTCTGTCCTGTTGAGCGGCAGGACAGGACGAAAAATGATGTACCCTCCTGTCCTGCCGCGCAGGACAGGACAGGACACAGGACGGCCGCACCGTCCTGTCCTGTGCTCATCTCTGGTTGAAAGTCTTATTGAATTAAATTTATTATCATTAGGATATTCATTTAATTTCAATGAACTTTTTTCTATTTTAAATCGAACAATAAATATTGAAAAACTTTCAATTAAAATCGATAATACAGATGATTTTCATTTAATTAATGGAAATCATTTTAATTCTTTTCTATCATCATTTCATTTAAAACAATTTAATTATTTAGTTAATTATACATCAGATTCTTCTATTAATCGAAAAGAAATTCTTTCAACATGGAAACAATTTCCTCAACAATTCGATTGTCTTATAAGTGATGATCAAAATAAAATTATTTTATATACAATACCTATTAGTTTTTCACATTTGGGTATTATGAGTACATTCTTTAAGAATTTATTTTCTGTCAAGAATTATTTCGATAAAATTCAATCTTTATGTTTATATGGAGTAAACCCCTCCCCATATTAGAAGCCCCCGGGGGGCTTCTAATATGTCTATCATATGAAGCTTCTGGAGGGGGCTTCTATTAAGTCTCAAAAAGTTTCGTAAACTGCCAGGAAAAAGGGTTCGCAAGGGTTTTTGGCGACTTTCAAGGTTTTTATGAGTTTTCCAGAAGATTTTTGACATTATTTTCAGATGTTAGCTAAGCTAGATAAGAGTCAGCCAACTTTTTACCTGAAAATCGAAAAATTTTAGCAGTTTTAGCATGAAAATGAGAAAAAAAATCTTGAAAATTTTAAAATTTTTTCGAAAAATTAGGGGGCTTCTAATACGTCAAACACGTTGTTCATCTCAGAGGGGGCTTCTAATAAGGGGGGGCTTCTAATATGGGAGGGGCTTCTATTATGGGGAGGGGTTTACCAAATTTAATTTCTGAAGTATTTCCCATATTAATAAAATGTAGAAAAGTTAAATATTTAGATTTTCAAGGCAATAATGAACTTGTTTTAAGTAAGTTATTTAAAAAGAAAAGAATTTATGGTATTTTATGTTGTTTTTTTAGAATCTGGAAAAGAAAATCGTTTATGTAAACTTATTCATCTTACTCATTTGTTATTAATACAATCATCAGTTGACTCAAAATCTTTACAAGAATTATTACAATCATCACCTAATCTGTTTGATTTGAATATACATTCCACATCTCTTCATTCATTACTCGAACAACAATCGATTTGTCATTTGTTCGAAGAACGAATTACTCATTTATATATTTTTATAATATATTCTGATGTTTTTGAACAAGTGACAACGACTATATCTCGACTTTCTTCAATATTCAAACGTCTTAAACATCTTTATATAAATATACCTATGAGTGATAAGAGTTTCGAATCAGTAATCTTATCTATATTCAATCAATTAACTCAATGGTCTTCTCTTATATCATTGGAAATATATGGTTTGTCAGAAAAATTTCAAGATAGTATTCGTCAATGGCTTCGTAACAATTCACCATTCAATGATTCAGATTCATTTATAAGTGAATATCCTAAAAGAACATTTAAATTATGGCTTTGACTTCTTAACAGATGTTCAACTGTGATTTTTTAAAATGAAATCGTCTTATCATATTGAAATTTATTTTTCATTTGAATATTCATTCTTTTAGTTTATATGTTCTCTTTCATTAATTATTTTCTTTATTCCAAACGTATTGAATAATCTATATATTTCATATTACTTTCTATTTTGAATAAAAAAAGGAATGAAAACAATATCAATGGAATTGACAAAGAAGAGTGTGGATGTGGAGAATAGAATAAAACACTCACACCCACACCCTTCTCAAATGAACAAAATTCACCATTTACCGATGATTTTCTTGTTGTTAATCAAAAATGATGAAATACAAACCATCATAATTTAATAACTGTAATATCTCATAATTCATAATTTTGTAAAAAAAGAAAAAAGAAATTTAAAATTATTATTCTTTCTTATTAAGCTGTTCTGTTTTATGAATAAAGGAAAAAAAAATAGCAAATATAAAATTATTTCGAATAATCTTTAAGTCAAGTTTAGTTGAATAAGAATAATAAAAATAAAAAAACGTTTGTCTTGTTTATTAACAAGTATTAAAAAAATGTTTTTTCATTGTTGAGCAAATAATTGATATACATCAAAAGAAAATTTTGCATAAAATCAACAAAGATTAGATCCTCTGAATATAGTCATTACCTTATTGTCTTTAAACATACATTGATTACAGCAAATATCTTCAACATATTCTTATCGTTATCTCAATAAAATATATACAATTTAACAACAAAACAGAATACACAAGCTTTTAGAAACAATCATTGACATGGATTGATCAATTAGCTAATGAAATTATTTTTTGACATGTTTGATTATTTATCATGCAATGATATTTTATTTATAGAGTGACTGACCCAAATTCGATTACTAATTTCAATAGTGTTTAGATAAAAGCTCGTATCTTAGCACTAGAACGTTCGTTTGAGTACATTCTTTTTCGTTCTGGATAGAATGGGTGACACTCTATATGCCTGCTGATTTTTTTTATTAATTAATTATTTCTAAATGAGTATTGCCGATTACAAAAACGTTAAGTTGACACTTTTGCCTGTTCTGTTGTTTTTCTAATTCAATCATTTACATGGGATTTGACGGTAGTGCTCAGAAAAACAGTTTTTCGTAGGAAAAAACTCTTCAGTTCGATAAAAAAAATTGTATCATTCAATTCCTCAGCTTACAACCTATCTTCCTGTATATTTCTTATCAAAATGTATTATCATTTCCACCATTTTGGGTGTGGGTATGCTCCGTGAAAAATGACAAGATTATGACACATTATAACAAGATTTCAGTGAAGCAAAATCGAAATTGTAATCGATTGAAATCTTCTAAATCAAATATAATTTCGATTAATATCTTATAGTTTCATTAAAAATCATATGAAATCAAAAATAGATGATTTTGATCAAAGTCATACTTGATTAAGACAATTGTTTTTGATTAAAAAATCAAATTATAGTTGATTTAGAAGATTTCAATCGATTTTAATGTGGTTTTTGTTTCACAAAAATCTGGTTATGATCTGACATTTTTTCACTGGGTGGGTGGGACTAGAAACATGATCAACAACCACACATCCACACCTGGCCTGGCCTGCAGGCTAGCCTGTAGGCTGCTTATTGAATTATAGCCTATAGGTCAGGCTGAAAAAAGTTGGCCTGTTGGTAGCTCTGCTACAAAAGCTTGTCCATGGAAAACAAATCATGTGAAGTGTTGTACAAAATGTCACCTGAAAAAAAAGCATGCTTGTAAAAATATCGAATAATTCTTATAGGTGCTAACATATGATATCTCGTATAACAAATCGTTTCAATTGTTGTTTTTTTGTATAAAACGATGTATTTTTGAAAGTAGTTTATGTCATTGCTAGGTGAATTTAAAATTGCCCTGAATATTAATTTCTCCCCCCCCCCCACTCCCCCCCCCAACATATCTATTAAATAGTAATTTGCACGTATATCATCTTTAAAATTTCATATTCTAATGGCTCTTTAACCAATACATAAAAAACGTACAGAAAATTTCTCGAAACTTCTGAAATCTTCCTTGTGAATTTTATTTGCCCGAACAATAAAATATATTTCCATGACATCCCCTACAAGGAAAAAAGATATGTAGTTTTTCTACAATATATGGTATGACTATACTGTAGAAATATGAGAATGTTCAGTTAATTACTCATGTATCACAGAATTCTTCTGGAATATGCATTTATAGATTTTTGATTCTTTCTAATTGAACTTTGCCGTAATATTCATGAGTTAACGAAGATTTTTTTTACTTGCAATTAAATTTTCTTCTGAAAAGAGGAAAGTTATCCTTATATTAATGGAGAGTTTCGACAATATTTCTATCCATCGTGAAGAGGAGGACACAGATATAAGACTGGTGAAGAAACTAATCAAGTTTTTTTTCATACATCCTCGTCTATATTTTATCGTGTTTTATTCAAAAATCTTTTCAATTAGTTTTTGAAAAAAAAACGAGCGCATAACAAAATGCATCATGATACAATTATACAACTGATTGTACAAATATACGTATGTATGTATATATGTTCATATAATTCCTAAATTGTTCTATTTTTCATTGATAGAATTTAATCTTAGTCAATAAAAGAGCATTCATCCAACGAAGCAATATTAATATCAATCTATTTCTGAAGTAAGTCCAAATACAGATTGCATTAATGAATGAAATCTATTACAATCTGGAGTTTGCCTTACAGAATTACTCATTGTAACCATTAGTGTTTGATAACGTAAAATTTGCATAACTATTGTTAGCATTGCTTTTATTGCTTCTTTTTCATCAAATAAATAATTTAAATAATTCCATAGAACATTTGTATAAAAATTTTGAAATTCAATGAATATTCTCTTACTTGTATAATGATAATCTTGATTAATATCAGATGATGTAGATAAATTAATATTGAAGATAAAAACAATTAATGCAAGTTTTAATACTAATGGATTATCCATAAAAGGAAGAAGATATCGACGTGTTCGAACTACTTGACTATGAAAATCTTTACTTATCCATCTGGACATGTGTTCACGTTGACTTGTCCAATCTTGAAAACTATGTACCATCATATGATGTAAATGTATAATATTAACAAAATTAGATTTGATCAATAGAACTTGATCGTTTATATCTAATTGTTTAAATTCTGGTATACATTTAAAAAAATTAATTAATGATTCATGCACAACAGTTTCGTCATTAATAAACTGTGAGAAAGGTGTAGATGATGTATATCTTTCAATATAGGAAAAATCATGTACATCTACTACGAACTGATAAGCATTATGTATATTATTTAATAATATTCGATGATCATCATGTAGAATATGATTATAATCAAAGCGCTGCATTTTACAAAGCTAGAAGAAGAATATATAGATTATTAATGTTATTTAATAATTTGTATTTACTGAATAAGTGACAATATCTTGGCTTATTGATTTTATTATTAAGTTTTTTCTCTTTCGTAGAACTGTTGGAACAATAGCAAGAGATTTTTGATCGTTTGATCGATCCGTTATTTTCTTGTGTTGTTTTGCTAATTTCATTCCATATCTTGATTTTTTTTCTTCTTCAGAAAGTATCAATTCTTTACGCATTTTAATATCAAAACATTTCTTTAATCGACAATATGGACATAAACGACGTGTTTGAATATTAATATCACATGAACCCGACTGTTGACATTTCAACTGCGACTAAACAAAAAAATATCATTGTTAGGTCATTTCGGCATAAGAGAAGACTCGACTTGAATGCATAATGATTGTGAATTAAACTTGGATTAAGAAAATTTCTATTGACTACGTTGATGGGTCACGTCTATCAATGTCTTAATCATAAATTTTCTACATCGTTTCACATAATAAGGACGTGTAAATAGATGAATTTTGGCTAGGAGTCATCCTTTTGATCCATATTGAAACTCACAAGCTAGATTACTAATTGATACAATCAAATCTCTTTCTCATATTTTTCATGAATCTAATTTTGATGAAAGAAATACAACAATGATATTTTCAAATCACACTTGTTAGCTTCATTGCCAAATAAACATTTGATTATGTTTTATTTACGTTATTTTTCTTATTGATCTCACTATTGTCTAATTAAAACATGACTCGGTCATATTCTGAATGAAAGCTATGATATATAGTCTAACGATATGAACTTCAACGGAAATGTTATCGATAAATAGAAATGTTGATTCGTCAAGAAACTTCGATATTTTCGATTTGTTAATTGTTATGTATTTTTTTTCTTGTCCTACACTGGGAACGGTAAAGGCTTTAACTAACTGATTAAAATGGTAATAATTCCATAAGGATAAGCTATGAGTATGAAGCCTTTTAGCTTTTTATTAGTCGCATTAAATTCAATCCATGACCAAACAACGAGTTTGAATGACTTCAGACATTTAGACACGTTTTCATAATAAAGCTCTGATTATTTTCATGTATCTAGTGGTTATGCACGTATGTGTCATACAAAATCATCTCCAATGGATAGCAATAGAAGTATTTCAATGAGTTAACGAACTCAATCTTCAATAGTGTGTAAGTTCTGTTTTAAATTATGCAGTACTTCTTACCATATCTCGTAATGCATTTCGACGAAAAAATGCTTTACATGGTTGACAAGTGATTTGATCAAAATTCATACCGCAAGCTGGAGCCCCACAAACACGACATTCTAAACTTGATCGTTGAGAGCTTTCTTTTGAACAATTCTCTGGTGATGATGTTTGTAGTTGATCTTGATCAATCTAATGAAACATTAAATGATATTATTTAAAAATACTCATTATATATATATATATCATTTACTTCAGACGATGAAGACGTCATTTCTTCCATCATATCATCATCTAACATAAAATATTGATTATCTTTAGTTTGAAGATTAGAATCATCAATCAGTGAAAATAAATCGTCAAGATCCAACGATGA